AGCGGAAACAGCGTCCCAGAAACGTGAATGTCATAGGAAATTTGTCTGATCGACTATTTAACCCTTAACTCTCGGAGTCTTGAATCCGTATTAAAGTAGAAATTTATATTACAGTATATTGAATAAATATATGATTGTAGAGGTAATCGGAGATGCTTAAGATAATTTGCGTACTTCAAAGTTTATGTATGATAATAATAGACAGAATAAATATATCAGAAGGAATATCTGTACAATCGATTCTAAAAATTGTATTCATATAGCACCTAATTATAGTATTTATTATTAAAAAATGATATTCAAAATCGTCGAAATATCAAAAATAACGAAAGTGCTAGTGTCATCTAATAGGTCAGAGTTTGTAATGGAAAGAATTGCTGAAGTCTGCAAACCATCAGCTGCTACGAATGAAATGTATTATCTGTTGGTAAAATAGAATTTACAGAAAGAAGAAGCACGGAAGATTCACAGATGAAATAGAGACACATTTTCCTATTGCATTAACCATCGATTGTATCGAACTTTTGACTTTAACTACCATCTGGCACCTTTATGTTCATTCACAAACGAGGATGACACATCTTGATACGCCACGACGTCAGTATTTCAATTTCGCGCTATTTCATTATCTACGAATGGTAAGTTACATGCTTACTGTACTACCAGCATTAACTAAGGTAACAGATGAGGTATATGAATAGACTAGAACAATTCTATGATATTTTTATATTTAATTTAACAATTAAAACTATTTATTTATAACAATTGAATCAGTAATCTAATTCTTTTATATTTCCAAATATTATTCCATACTTTCAATAATTCATTTACAGAATTACATTTTCCAAATTTCCAAATATTATTCGACAATTACTTAGCGTTGATAATAATTAAACAAGTTTAGTTCCTCTATGATAATAAACTTATTTTTGAACCTACAGGGATATCAAAGGATACGTGCGTTTTAATATTAAGTTGTGTACATCCAGTTTTAACTAATATAGGATAGTTAATCCCTGCAAATTCACTGTGAATGTTCTACACTCTATAGAATGATAAGCTTATTGCTATAATATATGTGAAACAATTCCTTCTTTTCTTCTAAATATGTGAAATATTTTAAACAGCATTCGCACAATAATAAATCGACAAGATAACAAACGTGTATACGGTTAATGAAATTCTTATTGCACAATACTATTTATATGTAACTACACACATGAGAAAGTAAACATATTTACATTCTATTTACTGTTTCATATTTACAATTTCTGCTCAGCCCTAATTATTTTAGCGTATTCCACGAATCGCTACTAAGTATTTTGGGAAAGAATCGGATGTTTCAACAAAAGAAGAAAGTAAATTTAGCCCGAATCAATTAAACATTCAGCGATACTTATTGTTACGATAAAATCAAGTCACATATTCTAATTCAATTGTCAATCAGAAATCGCTAACAGAGATTATTGATTTTCATTGATCAAATAAACTAACATAACTGTCTGCTAGACTGCAGATATCTTCTACAAATTAAAAATAAAGTAACAAAATAAAATTAGAGAAACAGAATTCAAGCAGAGATTTTCTACAGTCATTGAATCTTAACAAGCATTCTGTTTTGGTTATTTCATAGAATTTTCTATATTTAGTGCATTCTATGTACAATCTTCTTTTATTGTCAAAGGGATTTGTGAAATAAATTTAACAAGATATATTTAATTACCATTAAACAGTATCCATGCATCGTTCTTTCTAAATTCCATAGTCCACGTTGTTCCATCAACCATCCATCCATTTGGAATTCCATAGTCCATGTTATTCCATCTTCCATCCATCCAATTGATAAATCTGTAACAAACTTATTTGTTGGATTATTAGTTTAAAAAACTTAACACAAAAATTCCACACCACTGAAACAGAAAGCAAACGAATAGCCAGAAGGGCTAGACTACTGAAAAGGAAATCGCGAGACATTAGCCAGAAGGGCTATTGGAAAAAAAACACAATACGCTAGCCAAAAGGGATATTAAACAAGCATTTTCTACTAAACAATGCAATAACCAGAAGGGCTATTGTATAATTATCTACATTACAAACCCGAACAACAAGCCGTATCTTGTTTCGTAATACTAATTCACTAGCATTAATTCTAGCTTAATAGGAAATTTTGAAAATCAAACGCAGAGTGCTTCGTCATATTTAAAACTCCCGAAAGTAAGTATGCAACGCTATTAATCTATGCACCCATCTTTAAAAATGCGCAACACTAATTGGGACGCGTCCAATGCAACAATGCTGGAGGTTGCTGATGAATGATCACTTCTGTACAGCTTTTGTAACTGCATCCAGGTGATCCAAGAACACATACAGTCTTCCACGAATTTAGTGGAAAAATTTGGGCATTTTCTAAACGCAACGCTATTTCAAAAAACGCGATCATTTTCGCGACTAATAAGAGGAAAAGTAATTGGAACTCGCGATGGAATAGTATTGCAACACTAAGAATAAAAGTAACTAGATAAAGTAATATCGCAACACTAATTCTAAAACCAAATTCAACGAAAATTATTATAAAAAAGCTACTTCAAATATTCTAACAGTCTAAAATTAATTAATAGTAATGACTCTATAATCTAATTTGAAATAACAGGAAATAAGATAAATTTTTCTATGTATAACTTTAAAACAACTTTAAAAATTCACAATCAAAATTGCTAAAAACAATCGCGGTATCATAATTCGCAACTCTAAAGCAAACACGATTATCATTTCTTCGCAACTCTACTTTAAACCGTAATCAATTTCTCGCAACACTAATAAACAGGCACGAAATTTTCACAACTCTAATTCAATTCCGTAATCGATCTCTCGCAACGCTAACAAGAAAAATCGCGCGAAATTTGCCCAAAACAATGATAAACGATCATGCAAAAGAAAAAAAATACAACTACAAATACTAAAAGAGCATAGTGACAAAGTAGTAAAGAGAATGACCTCCCATGCTCTGGAATCATTTAAATGATCCAGAGGATGAGAACCCATTTGTTGCGACCCTCTTCGTGGCAGTTTGCCGGGCCTCTTCTTTTCTTCGGGCGCGATGCCCGCTGAAACTTAAATCTAGGCTCGAGTCTTTCTAATCGCAAAACTAAAAAATAATTTATAAAGGTGAAATAAAAATATAATCGCGGAAGCTGACCTCAATGCGCATGGACGATCATCGATCATAGTGATCGTTGTCCGCTCGCATGTGCGTGCTCAAGCAACACCTACATAAACGTTCGTTTCGGGACTTACTCGCGACCTATCCACGACCGCGACCGCGATACTAAATTCGAAAAATCGAAGAGTAAAACCGGAAACAAATGGCATGCTCAATTTGTACCAATTTCACTGTCGATTTTTCAAATTAGATTTCCTGAAACAGGTTGGACACGCGAAAAGGAAACACGCGACCAGAGACTGTGCCAACCTGCCCGGCCCTACCTACTTATAATTAAACACATTCACACCAGAAAGTATGCTACCTATCCTATTCAGGGACCCTATATTTAAAAAATGGCAAAAGACAGGCATACCAACACACTCATTCCACGGTTCTCACACATACCACTCGGGCGCAAAGACCTAAACTAGAGAGAACGTCCCGGGACGCCTCCGACACCCGAGCTCAACGCACAACTTTCACACTCTAATTTACGTACCATTTTTCTGAAATCGACTGACAATAGCTAGCGACCATTGCGTAAAACGTGATTAAAACACGTTTATATTTATAGTTAATATTTATAACCAAGAAAAAATATTTCTATAGAAAGTACACGTGTAAATTCACTTAAAATCATTATTATAACTGATAGTATAGTTATAATAATAGTAATGTAATTATATTGTATTTATTAAATATTGTGATAACAAATTCATAGTTCTTTAAATTAGTGCATAAATATTTTTAATATTTCAATAATGAATGCACCAATAAAAATGATGGAATAATGAATGCAACAATAGAAACGACGCAACTCCACATCCTAACCACACACACACATGTAGAAAATACGTCGTGCACGATACACTAACACATTGTCAGTCGCTGAGAAATTTTTTAGAAAATTACAGGCTATGGTCATCGTGCCCAATGTCTTTCACCCACCCAAGTAGCACCTGGGCACGTGAGTGAGATCCTGACAATGAACACGGAAGGGGTTAAACCTGAAAATCCTGAACTAAAAAAATAATTAGTTTATGTAATTTGTATCTAACGGACTATTGCATTATTTTATTTCAAACTGTAATGATTCTACTATTTCAGAAATTATTGAAATTGCAAGAGAATAAAGAACTAGAACTAGACTTGAATTTGTTAAAAAAGATATTATGAACATTCTGACAATTGACTCAAACAATCAAAATCAAACAATTGACTCTAAATTAAATATTAATAGAAATAATCTCAGGCGACTTCTTCATCAAAGCACATTTTCGAAAATGCGAAAACAGTAATCAAACTTGATGCTTTGATTCAAAAATCTACCTGTCGCGAAGTATCTTCTTGCACATAAAATTTCATACATTTTTTGCGAAAAAATTCTAATCTATTATATTTCAAATTCTACTACAGTTCATAATTATAAAACTTAATCAATTCAATCAAATAATACTATTATAAAAGAGAAAATAAAATTGGAAATTATTATAACTATTATTAATTATTAATTATTAATTACTATAACAAAATATATTACCGATGTCAATAAGTAATAACTACATATTACATAGTAACGAAGTCGGAGGGTATCCGTCTTCTCTACTATGAAGATAACAGATACTATTTATCTATTCATATAAATATTCATACGGATATTTCACTTTAGCAAACATTTATATTGAAGATATTTTGATTTTATAAGTTATTATTAATTATTAAAATATATTTTAACTATATAAAAAATATATATTTGTTAAAATCGCGATGTGCAAAAAGCCCTATCCTAATTTAATACATAAAAATCTTGAAAAAATGTTACTACTCACGAGTATAAAAAATACCCGCGGTCACTATGCTCATCAAAAATTCTACGTATACAACCAATCACCCGTGTCGATTCGGATCTTTCGTCCTACGACATGATTGAGTGACCGGAGGAACATAAATGCATGCGACTCACGGAATAGATGTGAAGAATGTTATCATCGATGTTGCACTGGAGCAGGAAAAGTTATCGTGAAGACCCCCATCAAATAGATACCACTGAGACTCCCATGGCAGAAGTGAAAAATTTCCTGAAAAATATCAAACATTTTGTTTCTAAAGACACAGTGTTATTTGTGAACATTTAAATTTTTATAATGACAAAAATTGGGTCTAATAATTTTGAAACGTTTTTATTTTATAATTATAATTTTACATTCGACTTCAACAGAAATTATAGAGAATAGAATTCAAGTACAACAAGCTAAGATACTTACATTTTTAGCTTTGAAAGCATCGTAAGATCCTTAGAAGATTAAGGGAAGTGAAGAGTGTAGAAAATCTGTAACAAAACATTAAACATCAAAATTTATGTTTAAAAGCAAAGCAAAATCTTATGTTAGAGATAATGAAAGATTCTTACATTTTCTGAGTTAGAGACATCGTTGGATTTTCCCCAAAAGATACAGAAAAACTGTTACTGATGTGAAGCGTCTGTAACAAAATGTCAAACATTTATTTTGTTGTTAAATTTGAAAAATTGAATATATTGAAGTACAATAGATGAAATTACTTACGATCTTGATCTCCTGGAGAGGCCTTATCCTCTTGAGCACTGACTCTAATACCGAAAACAAGCACTGAACATGAAAGAAGAAAAATAAAAGACTATCAACGCACGCGTTTAAGTAACAATCGGCAAACTCACTGGCTCTAACTCCGCGAATTAAATTTAAATGAATTGATAAGAGCCATTTCGCTCAGACAAGTACTAAAATATTACGCAACAAACACTGATTCTACTAACCGCATTGCGCGCGGTCACAAAAACTTTCTGGAAATAATGAATATATATGAAAATAATGAAATGTATGAAAAATGTATGAAGTAATGAATATGTATTGCATGTTGGCGTTCGAAGAAAGTAAATATATTGTAGCAAGATATATTATAATAAAGTTCGAAAACTTTGAATTTAATAATTTACTGTACGTCCATTTAAAGTATATACTACTGAGATACTACGATCTCTATATTCGAAATAAAACATTAATTGATTTAATCTTTCCTATTTTTATCCTTGTACCACAAATAATCATGAAAATATGTATTCTGAATTGTATATCGAATATAAATATATATAAATTGTATACCAAAATGAACAAAATGTTGCCAACTCTCCATAAAAGTTCATCAGATTGTGCATTAATGATCGTGGCGTCTATGCTATTTTGCAACCAAGAAATAACCTGCACAAAAACAAACCAAAAGTTAGAACAAATATGTCAAATGAAGGCCAATATGTAAAAGTGAAACGATAATCAACTGCAAATTCTATTACTAAAAAAGTGTTCGAGACAAGGTGCTGGTAACCGTGAGAATGAAATCGATGACCGAAGAGAAATCAACACGAAAAAGTTCAAAATCTTAATCGATTTCATTATCGTGATGCTTAATGAATCGTCAATCACGCGTGTATTAATGAAATGATACTATTAATAAGGTAAAATGGAACTAAAAAGTATCGAAGAAGCGACGCTACAGAAAGGACGCTACTGATAGGATAGAAAATGTTACAAACCAGTAATACGTATTGTTGTCACAAAATTCCAGAGCTGAATGACTCTCCGCAACACGTCTCGTCCTTCAGTTGATAAAGTAAGAGGGGATGAGGTAATCCTGCCCAACAAGCAAGATGTACATAAACATTGTGCTCGTGTTGTAATGAAGTTTTGTTTCAAGACATTCTACGCATTATTCGAGAAATGAAAAATTTTATTACATTACGCAGTAAAGTTATTATTTTAACTACTAAATACGTTCATTCTTAATAAATTATTGTTGAATTTGGTATTGAAATATAAAGAATGCAATATGAGATTAAAAAATCAACAAATAAGTAGAAAAAATTATAATAAAAGTGTGTGTGTAAAAGCATATAATAAAATACATGTATAATACAATGAAATACGTACATAACAATAAATATAATATAATAAAATACATATACAACAATGAATTTGTTAATTACAAGATTACAATATTTGTACTGGTAAGAACTGAAATTAAATTTTTGTATAAAATTATAAATAACTGTTAGCATAGTATGTTCAGTTTAAATGTTTATATGCCATTATTTCTTTAATTGTTGAAAATTATTATAGGTTAAATCTTACCTTGAGTTGAAGCCCAAAAATTCACGTTTTATTTTATTTTTATTTAAGAAATACAAAACACAAATACAAATCTAACACCTATTGATTTAAATTTTTACCTAAGAACTTCTGAATTATGCTTCTTTCTGGATGTTTCTTCTTGATAACACTCTTTCTTGCTTATAGACGAAGTGTGCGTCTCTCCGCCATGATTCCCGCTTTAAAATCGATCGTGAGAGAAATATCGATATGTTCGAGAATCGTAGGAAGTATATTCCATATTTCACCGTGGGGGCGTTGCAATCGCACGTTCCTCATGAAATGATAACCTGGAATAAAAAATAAAAAAATTCTGGTCTAATATACAAAATTCATGAGAAATTTTTAAAAAGGAACGGAAATATACACATATGATGAAAAATTGTCAATACTTTAAATTGAGGCATGAGAAATTTTATTATATTACGTAGTAAAATTATTATTGAATAACTACTGAATACTTGCATTCTTAATCATTGTTGTTGAATTTAATATTAGAATTGTTAAGAATTACGTAATATGAAGTTAAAAAATCAACAAATAAGTAGAAAATGTTTTAATAGAAGTGTAAAAATATGTAATAAAATACATGTATACGTATATAACAATGAGTTAGACAATTACAAGGTTATATTTTTTCTAGTTAGAATTGAAATTAAATTTTTGTGTAAAATTATAAATAACTGTATGCATAGTATATTTTGTTTAAATGTTTATATGCCATTATTTCTTTAATTGTTGAAAATTATATAGGTTAAATCTTACCTTGAGTTGAAACCAAAAATTCACGTTTTATTTCATTTTTATTTTAGAAATACAAAACACAAATACAAATTTAACACTTATTGATTTAAATTTTTACCTAAGAACTTCTGGATTATACTTCTTTCTGGATGTTTCTTCTTGATAACACTCTTTCTTACTCATAGACGAAGTGTGCGTCTCTCCGCCATGATTCCCGCTTAGAAATTGTGGGTAATATCGATATATTTGAAAATCTTAGGGAGTGTGTTCCATATTACACCGTTGGGGCGCTGTAATCGCACGTTCCTCACGAAACGATAAGCTGGAATAAAAATAGAAAACTCTGGTCTAATACACAAAATTCATGAGAAACTCTCAAAAAGGAACGGAAATATACACACTTGATGAAATATTGTCAATACTTTAAATTAAGACATGAGAAATTTTATTATATTACGTAGTAAAATTATTATTGAACAACTACTGAATACTTACATTCTTAATCATTGTTGTTGAATTTAGTATTAGAATTGTTAAGAATTACATAGTATGAAGTTAAAAAATCAACAAATAAGTAGAAAATGTTATAATAAAAGTATAAAAATATGTAATAAAATACATGTATACATACATAACAATGAGTTAGACAATTACAGGTTATATTTTTTCTAATTAGAATTGAAATTAAATTTAAATTATAAATAAATTAAAATTATAAATAACTGTTAGCATAGTATGTTTTGTTTAAATGTTTATATGCCATTATTTCTTTAATTGTTGAAAATTATATTGGTTAAATCTTACCTCGAGTTGAAGCCAAAAATTCACGTTTTATTTAATAAAAATATAAAACACGAATACAAATCTAACTTCTATTTATATTTTTACCTAAGAACTTCTTTTTTCTGGATGTTTCTTCTTGATAACACTCTTTCTTGCTTATAAACGAGGTGTGCGTCTTTCCGCCATGATTCCCGCTTAGAAATTGTGGGAAATGTCGATATATTCGAGAATCTTAGTGTGTTCCGTATTTCACCGTTGGCGCTGTAGTCATTATCTAAAGTCTGTATACATCTACGTGCTGTAATTTAAAATAAAAAATAAAAAAGACTTCCTCTAATCCTTCCTGTCTATTAAATGAGATAATTCTTTAATTTTATTTTTATACTTTGTACTAATATTAATTTTTTTCTTTACGTAGGCATCTTGTCTGTGATGTAGGATAATGCAGTTTAGGATAAGAGGAAAGGAGCGCCATCTGTAAGGTAAAAAAAAGAATCTTTTAAAACTTTTAGATAATTGCCATAAGGTCACATTTAATTTGATAGACACGATATATAAGATGGAGTATACAATAAAATTTAAATACTTTTTCATGTTTCACATTTTGAAAATCACCTGATTCCTTATTATCTTGCTATCGCATGCGACATTATCGACTTAGTGTCATAATGGAATCAGGCGAGATTACAGACGAGATATATGATATATTTCATCTTTGATGTAAATTTGTAGTAATAAAGTGTTCATTTTATCTAGCAATCAAAGATTTCGAATTTTCTGTGTTCCCAATCCCCATAGCTTTTACAGTGCGCCTTATAAAATCAATAACGACGCGGGTAATATAAAAATAACAAGGACTACTTATAGAAGTAGATTTTCCAGAGTCTATGTAATTCTTTCTAAAGTGTCTCCAAGGAATTTCAAACAGAAACCATCGATCTTACTATCCATCCGAAGGTACACCATCCTCTTACCATCCAACAGTATACTGCACTATATTCATATAATTCATGCAACGTCTACCTATATGCATATATAGAGCAAGGAAACACAAGTTTATACACTGATTAACAAAATACATTAGCAAGTAGTTGGCAAACATTTCGTGCCAACTAGCCACGAAGAGAAGCAATCCGTCTATCAGGGAAGTTGTCGGCCAGATAACTTTGTCGAAGGACCGGAACTCGCCGTAGCAACTCGGTAATTGTAGTTAACGCAATTCCCGCGCTAGTTCGGACGTCTTAGGCGTAACTTCGTCAACCGTGAGGCATGAGAGAGAGCTAATCCTATAGCGAACAAGACAAATCCGTGACAAAAGATGAGTAACCGGCCTATTCGCCACCTACGAGCCACCTGAAGAATCGCTCAACAAGTTTATACTGAGCAAAGGCACAAAAGCGCGTCGTAGTCAGGGTATTTTTTTTTTATTATTATTCAACATTTATTATAGATAATACAATTTTTGAGAATTGCACAGTGGAGTGTGCCACAACGAACAATTTTTATGAACAAAATTAAGATGCTGTAAGACACAAAGATGTTAAAAAGGACATCATAGTAAAGAAGAAACACTAATTGAATTTAGTAGTAGCAGAAGACTAGATAACTAATTATAAGAAACTCGTGAATAAAATTTGTAATTTACCGTGAGTATAATTAATAATTTATGAAATTAATTAATTTATATATACGGGTAAGAACAGTGACTGATCTTTGTTCAACATGTTAAAACGTTTCTATATAGTATTTTTCACTAAAAAAGTAAATTTTATGTTAGTTTTGAATGTATATTATATTTTTCCTCCGTTATATTACTGAGAATTTTACTCTTCACTCTGTATTCGGAATGGATTAACTCTTAAATACATATATTATTTCAGTGTATACTATAACGAAGGAGGTTCAAGAACTAATTACGTTTGTCCTAGCATACAGCTTATTGTACATATAATAGTTAATACAGGATAGTATAATAGTTAGTATAGGATAAGCCACGTATAATAGAATATGTATATATCCGGCTCGATGTCAAGAAATATATGATCAATATAGTATCAATACTCCTTTCATGGCCAAATACATTGAGAATCATACAAAGATTAAGTTCGTTCCCTTTTTAAATGAAATGATGCCATTTTTGAGCCACTGTAACTTCTTCTCGACATTCTCGACACTCCTGAAAAGAAAAGTATGTTAATCTATTTCACAAAATCATATTTAACAGACGTTTTAACTTTCGCAATCGAAATGTTTTATGTGACTCACCCTGTACACTAACGCTTGACAGATTTTTTTCCAGTTTTGTAAGATGTGGTACTCGTGTCCCAAGACTTTTCATCGTGGTGTATACACACGGTATGCTCGAGGGGTGTTGCAGAAGAAGCAGAAGACGAAAAAACCATTGCGGGCTAGAGGATAGGTAAGGTTAGCTAAAACGAAAGACTTTCATGAATGGACATTCATTGAAAGAAAAAAAGCCTCTTCAGCCTCGTTGCGTACTTTGAGGTAGAGCGGTGTGCCTCTCGCAGACGATTCTAAAGCTCTGAAAAGAGAAGTGGGGGAAAAGCCTTGTGCGAGATGTAGCAGGGATGCTAGCTTTCTCTCGGAATCGATTGCGCCTACCCGCTCGAGACCGCTCGGGCTAATTCGGCTGGCATCGGCAATTCAAAAATGTTCGATTTGGCGAATCACGCAATAAACACTTAACCCTTTTCTTGTTTTCTTTTTTTTTTTTTTTTTTTTGCCAGCGAAGTGTAATTGACACGGAAGAGAAATTTTATCAAATAATGGAGGTCTCGTTCCTGTCGCTTCTCAACAATGAAGATGGATTGCACCCTCTCGTCTTAAGATTTTTCTTTCTTTCTTTCTTTCGCAATTTTATAATTAAGTGTTAATTATATAGATACGATTATAGCTTATGAAAGCATGCGAACATATTTCATTCGAAACTTTTATGCGTATGTAGTGCGTGAGTATGTCATGTGGAGAGTTTAGAAGCGAATCAATGTCACTTTTCACTTAAAAACAATTTGTGCAAAGCAAATATCCTTTTATTGTCAAAACCTTCAGTTGTGAAACAGTTTAATTATTATCAGACAATCGCTACAACATTATAAGCTATTGCATTTGAAGTTTTGACAACAAAGGTACATACAATAATAATCTTCCATTGTACTTCCGTAGTATTACAGTATTATATAATACTACAGTATTTATACTATTTATACTACAAAATATATAATTGTCCACATTTATACATTTACATTGATTAACCTTTGAATCCTCCAGAAGAGATATTTTGAAATTTCATTAACTCTATAATGAGACACAATTATAGTATAATGAGATCAATCTGAAAATAGAAATTGTAAGATATTTAGTGCAAAAATTAGCACAAAATTACGAATTTTTATATAAGTGCACATTTTTCGTTGATATAATTAAGAGAATGAAACACGATTAAATATTCATTTCTCCTACTAAATATTATAACAAGTACTACCTCCTTTCCATTAAATACTTCATATACTTTTATATTCTTCATTTTTCCATAAATATTTCATATACTCCCCATTTTCCCATAAATACGTAAACATTCATTTAATAATAAATGCCAAAGATATCCCACCAATTTGTTGATATTTATTAACATAATGGGCAATTGATTATTTAAATAAAACTCTGCGTCTATTTAACATGAAATATACTATCTTATATCGTATTGATTAGTTTAAGATTAAAATGTAAAGTCGAAGTTATACATTCAATTGTTATTTAATGATAATGGAAATAGCAAATTTTGTTCTGTACATTTGGAAAGTTGATTATTTTCCCGAGCATTAAATTACGTCTTGTGAATCGTAAACTCGAGAGAGAAAAAAGCTCCGATAAATTAAGTCGTTGTTAAGCATGGGATATAAAAGCAGTTCGTTACCACTGCTCTTTTTTAATCTCTCGCGCAAAAGGAAAGATAACATTGTTGGTTAACTTAGAAATAATACAAATTGAGGAAGTAAATTTTTTTTTTAGGGAATTTTAAACGAATTTTTGCTTTTATGGCCACTTAACCATGAAGATATATTTCGCCTCGCAATTTACATACGTACATATGAGTGCTTGAATTTAAATCGGTTCTCGAATTGTGGTATTGTTTTTATTAAACGATACGATTCTACCAGATCGTTCTGATTAACGATTCAATTTCAACTTTTGACTCGTTGAATTGAAAAATTAAAAAGTGATGATATCTAGGAATTATTTTTTGAAGATTGAAATTCTCTTTCTACAACGACCCATTAAAACTTGCTGTACTGTTATTATTTTCACCACTTTATTGAACTTCAAACGTTGGAATTGGACGATTCCCTCTAATATTCAAAGTTCAATAAAATGACGAAGAAAGAAAATTATATGGCAAGTTTTAAGAGCCCGTTGTGAAAGAAGAAGACCTCAATCTTCAACACCACAGTGAATCTAGTCACGAAAAAAAAAGTTTTCCAATGTTTTTACAGACGATTGAAATTTCACAATTTTCGGAAATAAAAATATCTCTTCCCCGTTCGTTACATCACGTAAAAACATAAAAAAAATAAAATAAAATAAAATAAAATGAAGATTTCCAAAATAGAGGATTTACGATTTAAAAAACAAACCCAGTGGATTTTTACATGATTTTTTTTTTTTTTGTGTTCTCTTTTACATGAACAAACAATTTAAAATACCAACTATTTTTCATTATTAGTGATTCAGCTGTTACGTTCTTCACTACATCTTTTAGAATTAATGTATCTGAAAATACATTGTTGTCGATGTGTTGAAACGTTCAATTGATCATGAGACGGACGCTAACATTCGTCAATGGAACACGGAACAACTCGTTGCTTGCATTATTCTCGGTATTCTCTGGGAATTATTGTCACAGCATTTAACATGCACCTGTATATCACTATTGAACCATCAAGATAGAGTAAAGCTTGCCGACCATAAGTCACCGAGCTCCTTGGGGAACTACACGCCAACTAGCTACGATAAGGGATAGCTTCAACGTCAGTTGTTTTCGTCGAGGGAGAAGAAACTGGAGAAATTTCGTTCCCCTGTCGAACACGAGACCAAGTATCAAAAGAAGAGATTCGATACGACGTCGCAAACTGACAAACTTCGCTCCTAATAAAACACGCGTGACAAAGCGGCAAAAGGATTGTTTAAATCAAGCGTTACATCGTCAAATACAAATTTATATGAATTTTACTTCAATATAAAGTTCATTAATTGTAGAAAACAACGTTACTCGATTGTTTTTCCCTTGTTGCTAGTCCTTTTGATATGTTCCATTACGCTTCCGTGTAATCGACAATGACAAGTTTCTTTTATGCATTTTTATTGAAAGTTTAAAGACATAAAAATGCATACGACGCACGTGATATGAAATAAAATGTATATAAAATATTCAATAAAAATATATAAAATATTTACTGTGTAAATATTTTAAATATGAAATGCGTCACAGTTCTTTAATGATGCATATAAAATTATTTAAATTTACATGAACATCCGCAGTTTAATGATGAGATAATTTTATCAATGACAGCATGATGTCGTTTTTTACTTTGCGAATCTCTGATTTATCGACTGATTATTATATGTTAAAAATCTTCATAGAGGAAGGTTTAATGGTTAATCTTTTCAGCACGACACGCGAGTGACCAATATTTATTTTTTGATAGTTATTATAATGGAAGATGAAACTAAAAGATGCACAAAGGCAATAAAATTATATAAATTATATTTATATATAAGTATTATATATAATATTATATAAATTATTTTTATACATAAGTATTAAGATAATTTTTTATTTCAATTGTATCTTACGAGCACAGTAAGACAAATATAAAATACAGCGTTTGAAATTTTTGAATACATTGAGCAATATTGCAGCACCACTAGAACACCTTTACTCGTAGATTACAATTAAAATATTAACATTTGAATGTTGGATAAGATCAAACTTGGACACAATTTTCAAAAATACTTTAAAAGCAATGTTGAAAAGATTAAATCACATGATCTTGATGATCCTCTTTGTAAAAAATTGAACGTACACGAAAACACAATCTCGAACGGAACTCGATTCTTTATACCAAATTTCAGCAGGGATGTATCTCTCCTCACTGATTTATTTAAATCCTTCGATGACGCCTATCACTCAGCAGTGCCATCATTTGTTGAGAATGATTCGAATGAACTTTTCAAAGAGTTCGGGGACCGAGGATTTTCCAGCCGCGGCATCCTAACTTCGAGACTTCGGGTCTCCTACATCCTAACTTTCTTCCTTTTTTTTTTTTTTTCTTATAGTCGTGTTTTCCTCCGCGAGAGAAAAGAGAGTTCTCGTGTCGGATGCTGTTACTAGATCATAACTTGTCCGGGGAATCCCATTTTCCGAAATCCCCTTTCGACAAACTTGTTCCCGAGGTGAAGAAGTTCACCGCTTCGCCTAAATCCCGAGACAGTGGCTCGTAGTGTGTGTGGCTGAACATGTTCGCCGCGCGGGATCGAAGTTAATTGGCGAAAAACGAAATAACACGAGTTTCCGATCGGTGTACGTACGGTCGACAAGTTTCGGGCGCAGTTCAGGCGCGGGCACTAATTATAATAAGGAGCAATAGCGTTGTCAGGTTCCTTTATCCCTCGGAAGGAACTTCGTCAAAGTCCGCGGACTTAATTATCAGGTGGGCTCGTAGGCTGGCCAGGACTTGGTCCAGAATAAAAAAAAAAAGAACGAAAGTAAGAAAGAAAGAAAGGGAGAAAAAAAAGAACGAAGGAGTTGCTAAAGAGAGTCGCTTTGACATTGGGAACAATAGAGCCAAGGTTCGGGTTTCGTTTCGTCTGTCTGGGGAATCAAATATTTTTTTATTCGAACTGCCGAAAAATTTCTGACAGGCAGCCATCGCGTGGTTGAGTCTGCAATTTAGCTTGGCGATTAATAATGAAAACGACGGTGAACAATAGAAAATAATTGACAATATATCAGAGACTTCTAATTGAATGAAGCGTAGAAAACACAGATACGTGTTTCTCCATAATATTGGTGTAAATATGTCTGATATGAGAAAATCCCGTTCTTAAATTCTGGATTTAATATGTAGTGGCTCGTTTGTTTTAATTTTTTAATTGGATGTACAGTACGATACCATTGGATCTCTATACTGCCATTCATAAGTATTCAAATATTTTTGATTTAACATTTGATTGACATAATAATATGAATATATAAATTCATATTTCAGTTACAGCATTTGAACTTTGTAATTAAGACGATAGTCTCTTATTTTAATCTGTCAAATTGGTTGACTGTATAACGTTCACAAGTGTCTGGATATTTTAGACGAATTATGAGAAATTTTAATATTCTAATAATACAAATCGATAT